TATGACTAGCAGGCTCGGTAATTAATTAAATTTACAGATAGTCCTTGCTTCCTGATCGCGATTAATTTTGAGAAAAGCGAATCGACGAGTTGGATAACCAATATAACCGTAGTGGTCGCGATTAAAAAACTTGTTTCTTATTATTATCGTCGTTTCTCAATTATATATTTTAAACACAGAAATAATACATTAGCTGGTCCATCTATACCTTTTCATGATTGCCAAGAAAATTCGCCTTCATATTTTTTGACATCATTTTTTTATTGACGGCAGGGTATATCAACACCCATCAATAAAAGTAAGTCCGTTCTGCATTTGTTTAATTCGAAGGCACATGTCACGACCTTCTCCATGACTAGACCGAATTCGAAATAATGGTAGAATATCTCAACATCTACTTAAGGGCCACTTACGCCTTGCACGTGTCATCGTTGACGTCATTGGACTCGTCGCTCAGGCGGCATTGACACTGTTGACCCGTGTAGTTGGGGTTGCATTCGCATACGCCGCACGCTAGAGTGCCATTACCCGAACACGCTGTGCTATTTTCAATCTGAATTAACAAATATATGTATCTACTGAACATGGTAACAGATTTATACAAACCTTATCTAACGCTGTTGCTGCTCTAATGCGTATTCGGGATGCGTTTTGTGTACAACTGCCACATGCGGTAAAATTTGAATAGATTACCGATACTATCTGCATTGGTTATAACGTTCAGGGGGTATTAGGTTACAGTTTAGAGGTTTTAAATGTTCTAGAACAGTGGCAAGCAGATAATACCCTGCTGTTACACTCACCACAAACCATGATATTTAAAAAAACGATATATACACTATATATACACTATATAATACACTATATATACACTATATAACACACTATATATACAATGTATATACACTATATAATAGCGCGTCAAACAATCGCGAAGAAAACAAATACCTTGTCGCCGCAGTCGCAGTCACAAATCACGTTCAGCTTTATGAGCAACTTTTCGGCGATGTTGCGAGGTCGAATGGAGAAGGTAAATTATGTTTGTGAAATTTATTTTCGCCTATGTAACTCCATCTTTAATTTCTGTAGCACCCAGCAACGAGAATCCGTGTGGTTCAGTCTTCGGCTTCATCTGCAAGGGCATCCAAGATGAAGTGGTTAAAGCTGTTGTCGACTTAGCGAAAGATGCAGCCGGTGAGCAGAGAATTAACTAGACGTTTTTTCAAAGTAATTGCACTATATGTGTGCAGTCTGCGGCGCCGGCGACTGTAAGAGTTGCATGCAGTGTGTGTTCGTGCGTGCGTGCGTGCGTGCGTGCGTGCGTGTGTGTGCATGTGTGTGCGTGCGTGTGTGTGCGTGCGTCCATGCATGCGTGCGATCGATCGTTTGATTGTGCTGTGTGTAGCGCTAGCGTGGAGTTAAGTCCTTTGAGTATGTGACCTTTTTATCCTCACCCGTGTTAGCAAACTCCTGTTGCCTAGTTCGGAAACCGACTTCCCGCCAGTCTCATATAGAGTGGCAAAGGCACTCCTAAACTAACAATGCATATAGTAGTACAGGAGCTAAGGGATATAATTGTGCATTTATTGCGCATGGTCACATGCATGCGATGCGTTTCTTATCGGTGAAGTGTACTGTGCACCGCACCGGTTCTAGCCTATATAGTTCTACGTTGATAACGATATGACACAAGCTACTTATACTACACGCAGCTGTGATATCTTTCAGGTGACGTGGCTGAGTACATCACCGATGAATTTACGCCCGACGTAGTAGACTTCTTCTCAGAAACATTTCATTTAACTTCAGATTTTATCACGGAAGACGTAGCCGATTTCATTACGGACGACATCGGCGGAGCAATCGAGGATCTCGGAGACGTATTTGGTGACATTGGAGAAAATATTGGCGACGTATTTGGCGACATAGGAGACAACATTGGCGACGTATTCGATGGTATAGGCGACACTTTCGGCGATGCTCTTTCAGGTATAAATACGCACACCCACACGCGCACATAGACACGAATGCGCATACCCTTTCTCGCACATATTACCCGTACACGCACGCCCACGAACACGCTCACTTACATGGACGTAGACACATGCGCTCTTTCACACACACACACACACACACACACACACACACACACACACACACACACACACACACACACACACACATACACACACACACACACACACACCTAGAGGGAAGAAGAAAGGACGCTTCAGGACATCGGACCTTGTGAAATCCCATCATATTTTGATTGTTGCTCAGAAAGCTGCTATTTGCGACTGGCTTTCGAGTAGCAATCATAACCTGAGCGGGTAGTGTATCTACAGCGAAACTACGGAGCGGCTGGCGGCACTGACGCGAATACACGCACGCACGCACGCACGCACGCACGCACACACACACACTCGTATACTCGTATGTACAATACTCTTCTGCTATATAGTCTCTCTATAGATCTCATACAAGATATCTTCGTTACCGGAAATAAATATTGCCATGCGTGATGTGAAATCAAATGCTTACCGTGTTATTGTAATTAATTGCTCGTGCGTTGCCACGTACAGTTACGCTAGTTGTGCCCGCGTGGCGGCAGCACATGCGCATTAGCGAGCGAGAAAGGTCCGGCTGTTGCATTGTGAGAGATCCCACGGAGTGAAGTGTTCAAATAAAATTTCAATAGCTGTAAGTCAGGATTTCAGGGTGAAGCCTCGATGCCCCCGGGCTCTCTCTCTCTCTCTTTCTTTCTTTCTCTCTGTTTGTAGGTATGCCTGTCTGTCTCTCTCTCTCTCGTCACATGATAATATCGGTCACTAGCGGGCCGTTCCTATACCGAACAAGGCAAGTAACCAAAGGGGTAACCCAAGGCGCCAAGTTAAATGGATCGGCAAATTCGAGGAAGGGGGTCCATCAGTCTATCTATGATTCTATCTATCTACCTATCTACACCCGAACCACTACACGACGCACACCACACGCACGCACACGCCACACAGCACACGCACACGCACACTGCCATCGCACACGCAACGCACACGCATCACGCACACGCACACGACAGCACACGCACACGCACACAGCACACGCACACGCACACGCACTACGCACCACCGCACGACGCACACGCAAACACAACCACACACACACCACACACACACACACACGTCACACACACACACACACGCGTGTGTATGGGCGCGCAAGCTCTGGAAACAAACCCTGTGGAACTACACTACAAAGTGCCCCATATATAGGCGTGCTGTTTAATGTTATACGTTACCGTGTCGCCAACCCGGATGCCGGCGCGGCGCGGCCCTTCCTGTACTTCACCGTCGAATTCGTTCGAGTAGCGCACCTCTAGGTTTTTAAGCGAGCCACACTGTCCACTGGACTCGCCATCACTAACGGTCTCGTTGCATTCGTACAGCTGCACGGTTGAGCTGATTTGCTGGGAACGAACACGTTGAGTCGGTTCAGTTTTACGGATAGGAATAGGTTAGGGTCGTTAATTTTTTTATTACCTTGATATATAATATATAATAAATATAAATATACTACAACTAAATGTAAATATATATGTGTGATATAAAATGAAATAAA